TCAAGCTACTCTTAAAGTTTGTGTACAGGTCTTTATGTGAAGGTAGGTTTCCATCTTATTTGGGGGTTATTTCAGGTAGCGTATTGGTGGGGAGCTATGGGCAGAGTGTGTTTAGTTTTAGGGAACTGTCTACCTGTCTTTGTGAGTGGTTCCACCATCCTGTCCTGCACCCTTAAGCTGAGAGTCCCTACATCTTTGTCAGAGTTTGGTATTGTCAGTTCCTTTCATTTTAATTCTCTTAGGTATGAGGTTATAGCTTATTGTTTTAATGTGCAGCTCCCTGATTTTGCTGGGTTTTTATCTGGTGAACTAGTTTGGAAAACTGATTCTCTTGGGCCTCTCTCTTCCCAAAGATATCTTGCCTCTGAGACTCCTACTGACAGTATAAACAGTGGTCTGTGGTCAGTTAGCTCGATTTGCTCTTGAGGTCTACATTCCTACAATAATTATGATTACACATTTCTAATGAGGTTGCTTCTACTCCGTAATTTATGGCATGCTGTTGAGCCTTTGCAGTGAAGTGTACATGTAGGCCAGGAGAATTTGAGGGTGTGAATTGCTATTTAGACTATAATAGTTCTTTAGTCCCAGATTTCAGCATGCTACTATTGCTCTGACATTGAACTTGGTTTCCTTTGCTCATTCACAGCAAAGCCCCGTTGGCTAGTACCTTGGCCTTACTTTCCGTATCTCTGGCATTGGCTTGCAGCCTGCTTCTACAGCTTGCTGACCATGTGTCTCTATAGTTTGGTCTGTGCTCCATCCAAGCTGGGCTGAGCCTCTAACCTTGCTCTTGGTTTCCACCTGCCAAGTTTGCCCTTCAGAAGACTATATGCCTGGTTCTGTCCACATGCCAACAACCTTGTCTTCTACATAGTTCTGCTTTACTCGGGAGGAAGCCATGTTTGCCTTTGCCCCTTATAAGGGTGGAGGAGTCCACCTAACTTTGTATTAAAGCCGTCTATGAAACTGGCTCCTCTCCTTACACCATGTGACCCCCTGGAGATGTACCTGCACCTCTGACTTCCTGCTTGCTCTGCTGCCTGTCAGGAGGCTGTGGCCTGCATGCTTGAGCTGGGAGTGTGCACTGGGTAGCAATCTTCTTAGGGTAGCAACCGTCACTCTGCCGTCTCAAATAGGCCCCTGGGGCCTTATTTCCACAGCAGCACCCAGAAGGATGGGATGGAGATGTTCAGCACTGTGGCATGTGACTGTCAGCTTCACTGGGGTTCTCTGGAGTTCACTGGGAATGTAGGCTTGATTCCTTTTGTCACAGACAGATTCCTGAACTGGGGTTCTTATTTGTAAATCTGCTTCAACAGCTCCTCTTGAGAGACTTTTTCTGATGATCTCTGTTAGTTCTATTTTGCAACGCTGTCATAGTTACTTTTCCTGTTGCCATGATAAAGTACTCCGACAATAGGGCTGGAGAGATAGCTCAGTGGTAAGAGCACTGGTTACACTTCCAGAGAACCAGGGCTGGAGTCCCAGCACCCGCATTGCAGCTCACAACTGCCTGTAACTCTCTTTCTAGGAAATCTGTTACCCTCTTCTGGCCTGTATGGGCACAAGGCACATATGTGGTGTACAGACCTACACATAAAACAATACTTGGCAAAAGCCGCTTAAAGAATAAAGAATTTGTTTTGGGTTGTAGTTTAAGAGTACGATCTATCATGTGGAGAGCTTGAGGCATTGCCCCGGAAGTCAGGATGGGGAATACTGCCATACCCAGCCAGCATTCTCCTCTTTTGTGCTATCCAGGACCAAACCCCAAAGAATGGTGCTGCCCGTTTTTAGGGTGAGTCTTTCTACCTCAATTAGTATAATCAAGTTAATCCCAAGTGACATGGTCAAAGACTAACCTCAAGATAATCTTTCTTAGATGTGCCTGCACTCTCCTAGGTGATTCTAGATTCTGTCAAGTTGACAGACAACTGTAACCATTACAGTTCCTGTGATTAAAAATACCACGCTAAAGTAATTTACTTGTAGAAAGAGTTATTTTGGTTCCTAGTCTGAAGGCATACAGTTGTGATGGCTAATTGTTGTCAACATCACACACTGGGGAAGAGGGACCCTCAGTTGAAGAATTTCTTTCGTCAGATTGGCCTCTGGGCTTACCTGTGGGATGTTTTCTCTGTTGCTGATTGCTGTGGGTGGCGCTATCCCTTGGCAGGCATGCCTGAACTACGGAAGAAGGTAGCTGAACATGAACCTGGGAGCAAGCCAGTCAGTAGCATTTCTCTGGTTTCTGCTTCAGTTCCTGCTTGAGCTGCACCCTAACCTCCCTCAAGAATGGACTGTGACCTGGAAGAGTAAGCTAAAGAAATCCTTTCCTTCTCCAAGTTGCTTTTTGTCAGTGTTTTATTACAATAACAGAAAGCAAAGCACAGTCCATCATATGGGGAAGGCATGGTGGAGCCAGCTTCATGGTGGCAGGAGCTTGCTGTGGGGACTCCTCATAGCTAAGCAGACCAAGAGATAGGACAGGAAGTGGGGCTAGTTGTAATTACTAAGTCCTAACCCCTTCTTAGAGTTCTACTTATCACAGCTAAGCCTCACATCCCCAAAGTTCTACCTTTCCTCCAAATGCTGCCAGCTGGGGACCAGGTGTTCAAAGTGAAAGCCTGTAGGGAACATTTTACACCCAGGCTATAACTGGAACCAACTAGACCTTCCCTACCTAGTGGCAGACTTGAGCGTTCTCCTTGTAAGCTTCAGGAGGGGGCCCTGCTGTCTGATGGCACACAGCCACTTGGTCAGAAGTTGCTTGCTTTTGTTCCGGTGGCTAGGGAGATGCAGAGTGTTTCTCGTCCCTGTGAAGGCAGTGGTCTGTGCACATGCTCCCGATGTACTGCCTTTCCCAAAGTTCTTCTTTCTTCAGCAGTAATTGCACTCTCATCTCCCGCTCGAAAGCCCCTGGAGCTTTTGAAAAAATAAAGAAGCTGTTAAAGCAAACCATGAAAACAGACATTCGCATTAGCCTAGGCCTTCCGTAGCCATGGTCATCAGTGTTACTGTCTTCCACCTCTACATCAGTGCCTCTCAACCTTCCTAACGCCGCCATCCTTTAATATAGTTTCTCGTGATGTGGTGACCCCAACCGTAAAATTATTTTATTGCTACGTCATAACTGTAATTTTGTTAAGAGTTGTAATGTAAACATCTGATATGCAGGGTATCTGATATGTGACCCTCAAAGCGGCTGTGAACTAGTGGTCGAGAACGACTGTTCTAGATCTTGACTCACTGGAAGGTCTTAAAGGCAAATGGCGTACGTGGAGATGTCATCCCCTGTGGTAACCGTTTCTTCTTCTGGAATACCCCCTGAAAGGCCAGTTTGAGGTTGCATTCCAGTAAACTCTTTTTCCCCAAGTGGAAACAGTATACATGAAAAAGATGATGAAGGTGTAGTACAGGAAGCACGGGCCATTGCCATTATGAAGTATTATATACTGTATACAGTCGTGCTGTGGTTTTATGTGACTGGTGCTACAGTGAGTTTGTTTATCCCAGATCGTGACACATGAGGAAGGCAGTGTGCTGTGGCCTTACGGTGGCTGCTCTGCCACTGGGAAGTGGGGCTTTTTCACTTCTTTCATAATTTATTTTTTACTGTGTTTCCCAGGCTGACCTTGAAATCTCAGGCTCAAGCAATTCTCTCCTGGCTCAGCTCCATTATGCTTTGATGGGACTGCTGTGGTCTGTCACTGACTGGTGCATCGTTAGGCGGCACATCGCTGTATCTAATAACTAAACCTCAGAATACATAGAATGCTTACATACATACGTAATAACTGAACATCACAGAGGGGATTTGGCTGACTAAGAAGCAAAAATTGATAAATATGCAATCACGTAAGCTATTACAATATTCCTTTTTTAGTAACTGGTAGATCACATTCACACACATAAAATTAATATTAAAAGTTTTAGTAACACATATCAGGTTCAGGCACGTGGTCATATACAAAATCTGTACTTATATTTGCTAATAAAGTAAATCTCATTTAGGCCATGTTCTTTGATCAAAAGAGTTAAGTGAGAAATAATAATGAAATCACAGAGAAGGAAAGCCTATGTGTTTGACATTTGAAAAAAAAATTAAAAACCATTCAAATTAAGTAAGTCACAGTAGAATTTTCTAAGATCGAATGAGTAACAGGCTAAATAAGAGTTATAGAATGTGTAGCACTCAGAAGGAAATTGATATCTTTAAAGATAAGTGTTTTAAGTTAAGATAAAAGTTGAAAGTTGATGTTTCCAAGTAAGAAAGCTAACAGAAAGTAGGGAAAAAAAAGGCTAGGAATAGAAATTATAAATGGGAATACACATTCTCTCCACAGTGTTGTGTGATAGATTACTGTGCTCTGTCACTGAACTGTCCGTTGGTTATAAGGATGAGTTTTCGGTTCTGTACCCCACACTGCCCTTGAAGTTGAAATCTTCTTGCCTCTACCTCAGCCTCCCAAGTCCTGAGGTTGCGAGGTATGCGCCACCACTCCTGTGACTCTGGTTACAGTTTGAATATTAAACCTCGGCTTTTGGATAAATGTCACTTGGTCATGCTGAATAATCTTTTTATGTATTTGTGGATTTAATTTGCTAGTATTTTTGGTGTGTGTGTGTGTGTGTGTGTGTGTGTGTGTGTGTGTGTTTGTCTCAGGCTTCTGTGAGGTTTTTATATGGTTTTGGTGTCAGACTATCGCTGTCCTCATAAAACGTCCTACAATGGAATGGGATGACATCCTTGTCTCATGTTCCGTCAAAGAGTTGCTGAAGAACTGATATTCTTTTTTTTACTTTTTTAACATTTGGCAGAATTTATTTGGAAAAAGGCTTTTCCAATTCAGTCTCTTTACTTGTCTTTTCACTTAGTTTTTATTCTTATATTTACTGTTCCTTATGATTGTATTGGATTGAATTTTCTCTCCTTTTTTAGTTTTTGGAGGCTGACCTTTGCTCACTAAGTTTTGATTCTTCTTTGTCAAATGCAGGCGTTGTTGCTGCGGTGAACCCCTGCCCTGCCCTCCGGTAGCTGGCTGCTGGCTCCTGGCCCTGAGTTCTTGGTGAAGCTGGGAAGGGGATGAGAATAGGGTGAGTTAAAAATGCCTTCTTATCACATGCTGGTCTTAACATTATCAAGTTGTTTTTCTTGAATAAACGATTCTTGGAGTCCTCCAACGTTTTATTTCCAGAGTTCTTAAACAGTTAATTGGGAAGAATTATCTTTGTTTATATGGAAGAGAGAGTGCTGAAAGTGATTATTACTCTTCCTCTCCCATTGGTCCTAGCCACTGGCATAGTTTATACTTAAGAATTAATGAAAAGGATGTGATTTCTATAAGGCGTTTTATGGAAATGGATTATACTTGCTTATAAACATCACAAGGAGAGGAGTCGTATAGTTGGCTGGTATATTTGGAAGAAAAATGTAGTGTAGGCTGCCAGTTAAATATTATACATCCTAAGAAGCCGAGGAGATGGAAACCCTGTGGATGCAGTGGAGAGCCCACTATTTCCAGAACTTCTAGGGAGTCTGGAGCCATGTTCCTCCCAGGGAGGCCATAAGAGAAGGTCACTGGGTACCGTGTTCAGAGTGTGGAGACCAGGGGTGTCTTCGTTGTCTTTAGGTGAGCAAGGTCAGTTGTCCCTTGGGTCCGGGCATCTATCCACAGCCCAGGTGGGAGCAGCTGGAGCTGCTATCGCATGGGGGCTTGGGGTAGGCCCGGAGCTAAGTAAGGAATAAGAACATCTGTACTCTTGAAGCAGAGACTATGGACAGATGTTTTCATTGTGAGTGCCCCAGTCATGACCCTACATGTGGGAGCTAAAAAAGGGCCAGATTTCTAAGGTCCAGCTTACCACATGTGGAAGTTCAAAGGCCGGTGAAAGGAAGTGGTAACTTGTAAGTCAAGTGGTCATCAGGCACAGCACCTATGGTTTGGCAAATGAATGGTAAGAAGTGGCAAAGGCTTTTAATATCTGAGAGTACCGGGACACTCACTACTGTGTGTGCTTTAAGATTCAAGAGGTTACATACACAGACTAATCTAAAATTCATATCACCTAGTGAATTATTCTCTTAAGTACATTGACAGTGAAGCCACGCAAAAATGTAGTGGTCACAAAATTTATGGCTGGATTTAGATCTTTGGAGATACTGGCTGACATCACCTTTGTAGCTACCCTTGTAGGGCCACGATAGCCTCACTTGCTGCCTTTCATATTTTTGATGTAAAGGCAACCTCAGTGGCCCAGAAGTTGTATATGATTGTTAGAACGCAGGCTGCACATGGTAGATCAGCCAACTTGAGCTAGATGACGTAGTTGCACATTCTGAGAGGATTTAGACCTGGAGTTTAGTCTGATCTGTTTCAGAGTTGAGATAGAGCTTATACTCTTGCATGCTGGGCCCCTTTGAGCTTTGCGGTAGCTTCAGGCATTTGAGGCCATCTTCCCCTTCAACATGACCCTCCCCTTCAACATGGTAGAGAGTGGTATTAGAGCCTGAACTCTTGGGCTCAGGCATGTTCCTGAATATTTCTGGAGACCAACTTTGGTGAGAATTGGAGGCAGACCTTTGTATACTAAGTTCACAGTGATTTTTATCCCTGCCCCGATGTTAACATGTGCAGATCCATTTAAAAAAGAATTCCAGTTTGAGAATCTCTGCACTTTTCCTCTACACTGTACTCAGCCACGTTTGGGCCTTGAGCGTAACTTTCTTTTTGCACTCCTCACGTGTCATCAGTTCCATCCATTCATGCCTGTTCTTGTCAGATGTTGAGCAAGTGTTTCGCAACAGGAGCACAGCTACCAGCATGCCTAGAGTGAGGCTGAACCCACTGTTCATTTGTAATGCTTGTGTTTTGGCTGTGAGGCACAGAGCCTGAGAGTCTCATCTTATGTCCCAGGATGGCTGTGAAAAATCAGGTTTCCTGAGGGCTCCTTGTTCATGTGTATGAGAAACTTTAAAAACATATATGGACTTTGAAATTTCCACCCTTCTGAATTTACCTTTAGGATATAATCAGAGAAATACTAAATGTATGTACAGAAAAATACTCATAGTATTAACCTAAATAATTAACAGTTGGAGGCAATCAAATACTCAAATAAAACATGATTAGATAAATCAGTTATTGTATTTCTATAGTACAGTGGAATATTAGATAGCAGTTGGTCTTCATAGAACTGATTTGTGACATGAAGATATATACACCCTGTTCACTGGTGCATGTGAATAGCATGTGTAAAAATAGTGAATACAACGTAAAGCTATCACGTGTATGCATGTATGGTATATGTGAATGAAGTTATGAGTTTTAAAAACCTACAGAAGGATTGCTAAAGGCTTCTGGTGTCTCTAGAGGTGGGATCAGAGCTGCTTAGTTTCACACATTTCTGAATTGTCCAAGTTTTTCTCAATGGGCACACGTTACTTTTATATTTATGGAAGAAAGAGCGTATGTTTTATTGTTAGAGAATAATTACATAACTACTAACCTGGTCTTTGAGTCTTTATAGAACCATTTTTCTAAGTATAAAGCAATCTCAACTAACAGATGTTTGATTTTCATAGACAGGTTTCTTTGAGCCACAACAAATATCATGAAAAGGCTAAAAAGATGTATGTTAAAATTATTACATAGGTGTATCTATAGTAAATTATCCTTAGAGGAGACACAAAGAGTTGATGCCACTTTGTTTCAAAATAGATAGACTTATGAGAAAATACTTAGAAAACATGCTGCTGTCTGTACCTCTGTGTGGGAATTGGGGTACTTTTAAATGTATCTCTTGTGCTTTCCTGTAGCTCCCGAGGCCTCTACACACAGAACAGGCATACATCCTACGATGGCCCATGCTTACGGAGAGCAGGATGTGAATGCATGGCCTTGTGTTTGTGCAGGGACTTCTGTACAGGGAGCCAGCTGGCCTCTGAGGGTAGGTGGCGGGCTGGGCACAGCTGGCTTCTCTGTCCCTGATTGCCATGTGGTAGGTTGTCTGGAAAATCCAGCAGGTGTATTTTTAGGCAATGCTGGTGAGTGGGCAGATAGACCGAGTCTGGTAATGACCCACTCAGAAAGCTGGGAAAGCAAAAGTGAGGAAATGACAATTTTTAACCTAAGTCCACATTCTGACACAAGTCAAAAACTCCTTTATAAATCATTGGAGGTTTATCATAAATAAAATCTACCAATATGGATTGAGACATGGAATGAAATATTTAAAAAAAAAAAAAAGGAAACATGGGTTCATACATGTATGCCTGCACTTACCTAAAGTATGATCTATTATAAACAGGAAAACAAAACAAAACCAAAAAAAGGACTTTCTCCCTAGATGTGGGCACGTGTGTGTGGGAGGCCGCGAACTTCTTCTCCATGGAGGGGTTTCTCAGCCCTGGATAGCATGGAGGGAAAGGCCGTGCAGGGTGGTGCCAGGCCTGCCTCCGTAAGCCCTCTGAGGTCTGCATCCTCCCACCCCCACAGATGCGTCATGGCCGCACATTGTCCTCACAAGGCTATTTTTTGAGCTGGAGGAGTAAACAGGCTCACCCCCATCTATTTCCTTCTCTGTTCCTCCGAGACTCAGAGTGCTAATTATTTAGAAATGGTAATTGCACCAGTGAGCCTGTGATGGAAATGGAGTCAGAACATCCTTGCCTGTCCTCCCCCAGCAGAAACCCCGGAAAGCCTCAGCTCATCCTCCCCTGGAATCTTGTTGGCACTGCAGAAGTCTGTTCTGCTGTTGGAGGCTTGGTAAGGAGACACTCTGCCCCTAGATCCGCAGGAGTCAAGGTCACCCTCTGCCTAAAGTCAGGTCCTCGCGGCGGCTGCTTAGTTCGGGGGATCCATGAAAATCTCAGCGCCTGCGGATACATTTGGCAAAGATGCCACCCAGCAGTGCGTCAGCACCACACTTCCAGATGTGTCCGTTCATAGAACACTTCGTCTAGTCCCAAGTCGTCCATGTGGCCTTTGGAGTGGCGGGCTGTACAGTTGCCCATAGGGCAGTCCGCTAGTGCTGCCCCACACTGTGCTTGTCTATCCCCGTGTGCCACTTGCTCATCCCCTCCTGATGGGAAAGGCTCCAGACCCCCATACTGTGTCAGAAGGAGCCTCAGTCCTACCCTGCCGTGACACAAATACAAAGCCCACGGAAGATGTTAGCTGCGTCACTGAAAGTGTGCGAACAACAAAGGCATATTGGATGTATGGTGATGTGCTGTGGTAGCGAGTGGGGCCAGAGACCAAGAGCAGGGGAAATCTGGTGTTGGGTTGGAACCTCAAAGGGTCTAGAAGAAATTCCCTTTCTTAGCAGGTTGCTGTTTCTTTTGGGCTGGGGTGGGGGGTGTAGGGGACACAGCCACACTCAGAGAGATGCCTACTCTTGGTGTGTGAGCTTTGTTGGGACACTGCAGTGTGCTAGAAAACCGTACGCCCCAAAGTAGGAAGGTTATAGATAAGATCCCATGAAGATAGCATGACTGCCATTTTCAAGTTCCCAAAAGGTGTATGTAGCTCTTTACGCTTTCTTTTCCCCGAGTAGTCTCTGTTGTAGAAATACGGTCCTGATGAAAACATTCTGTTGTGTGTGGATGGCTTCACATCGGTGCAGAGGTGTCTGTGCAAACCCCAACAAGTGCAAGAGCCCAGCTCAGCTCGTGCCACATGGCTGCCTTAAGCGCAGCTCTCACCTGGCTTTCTGCAGGTGTAGCACCCGAATCCTGGACAGAGAGCATCTGCTCAGACCCATGTGTGTTCTGATTATGTTTCTCCCCATTTAATTATTGGGTGCTATCTGGTGCTAAATACAATTCCTATTCCTTTCATCTGAAAAGTCTACTTCATTCTGTGATTTTTTTTTTTTTATGAGATAGAGAGAGAATACCCACAAATGTGGAGGCACACATGTCCTGGGACTTGCTGCAAACCTCTCTCCATAGTCCCCTCATTTTTTTCAGTATGCTGCCCTCCAGGGACAGGGCCTTGACCTGCGTGTTGGCCCGCACTTGGGCATCTGTCTGCCCGTCCTCTCTGCATGTGCTTCCACCAAGCTCCTTCTGGGAGCTGTTGTCCAGGTTGTGG